GTGAATAACGGGGAGGTTCGCGTCATCGGCCACGTTGCAGAGGTTGTGGACGCGAGTGGCAAGCGCGACCCCGAATTTATCCGTGAAGGTTTTGTTGCTCTTCTCACGGTCATACTGGAGTTGTTGTTCAACAGTGGCCTCCAGCGTATCACGTAGGTTCGTGATTCCCGCGTTGAAGGTTGCGTTGGTCAGGCCCGGACCTACCGCGCCAAGCGCCGCCAGGTAGGGGGAGAGTACCCGGTTTGTGCTTCATTGGAGCGCATTTGCGCTAATGGGCGCGGCCACGTTAGCAGCAGCATTACTAGTGGACGTGTGACCTCCCGCGACCAATGTGCAACAGGCGCGGAACCAGTGGACCAAAGGGGCGATGGCAGCCTGTCGCGCAGGATCCGCGTGAGTCATCTCGGGGGTAAGGACTTCCGCACGGAACTGGGGAAGACTGTACTGTCCTTCGGGACAGGCCACAAGGACGGCTTCAGAGAGATAGGACGGAAGAGGCATCACACGACGGACCCGGAAGACATCAGTGTCCGCGACACCACCGCCGTGGGGGCCACTGTGCAGCACAGGAGCCGGAGCGGCGGCAAACATGGTTCCTCCGTCAATAATTGTCATGTTGTGGCAGGTTACGTCAGCCGTGCGCTCGAACGCAGACATGGGAAGGACCACCGTGATAGCGCTTCGAAGATCGTTCCCCACCACGATAGCGTAGAGATTGTCGTAAGGAGAGGCCTGACTCGGATTCACTGGGTAGGCGTAGAGTGAGTGTCCAATGTAGATATTCGTTTCATCATTCTGGAGGACGAAGCCAAAGGTGACAGGCGAACGAAGGCAAAATTGGCTCATAGTGCGAGAGGCAACATCACGGTTTGCATTCGAGGCGCCGCCCACAGAAGTGAGGATATTAGTGTAGTTTGGGGCATGTACCTCCCATGCCGCTGCACGAGAGACGAGATCCGAAAAATTAGAGCTGGCCATGGTGAGGGTCGAAAAGATACGAAACCTGATGCCGGTGCAAGAGATTAATCTAATCTAGGTTCTTGCCTTCAGCGTCGGCTGAATGAAGAATTGTGAGCTGAGAGAGAGACAACATTCCTGCGATCGGCAGTTCAATGGCTGGTCTTGGCTAGGTCGCTGGCTTTAGTGATTCATGGTTGCCGCTGTCGATCTTGCCAAATGTGGTCTTGGACGGGCGTCGTTGCCTTAAGGGTAATCTTGTTCGGGAGGCATTGAGGAGCTGATGCGGTGCATCATCATGTGGGGTATCCATTTCCGGAACGCAGGTGATGACCTGCGAGATGTAGAGATGTACTTGAGTTGTAGGTGAGGAGCGCGGGAATTCGTTTTGCAAATTGTGAGATGGTCCTCTCGGCAACCATGATTAGGGTCATAGTTGCGAGAACCCATCAGGGTTCAAGTTTCCACGCTGCGGGGCGTGGAAACTCGGACGGGGGGTTCCCCAGGTGTGCTGCTGTTAAACACTGGGCATCATATGTGAATGACTGTTACTCGACTGAGGACTGAGGCTGAGTGACGAGTCGAATCGACGAGTCACTAACTCGACTCGACTCGACTCGACTGGGAGCTAGCTACTACCTGGTAGCTTCCACCCAACCGCCAAGCACAACAACACACCACCACCAACAACAACAACGATACCGTACTAGCTAGCTAGCTGTTTTACTCGAGTATGCGATAAGGCAGCTCTGCTTATCAGCAAGCTCATGCGACTGAGCTACCAATCGGGCATCTCTCTGTCTCCCAATATAGTACGACTGTAATCTCTCCACGCCACACTCAACCAAAGGCATATCCACATGAGAATCAAAATTTCAAGGAGCAGCAATAAAACTACGGCACGAGTGAACCAAGGGCAACAATTGACTGGAGCTAGGAATGGCAACAACGGGAGCACGCAACCAGAAGGAACAAGGCGCGTCTGTGGCTTTGTGTGCACACACTTCCTATGTGCATTTCTTGTATTCCTGGCTTGCTACCGATGGAAGCATCTCCTACCAGGTTATGAAAGTGAAGGCTCCCAGTGGTCCAAATCAAAGTTGTCCAATGAAGCCGCGACATCTGTTTCCGCTACAGCCACAACCACACTTCCTCCTGCAGTTCCTCCTGCTTCTTCATCCAAGGCACTAGATTTCAGTGCACCTTCACTTGTTGATCCATCCACGGTGAAACGGATCTTTTGGATGCATGTTCCAAAAACGGGGGGCAGCTTTTTCCTCCCAATCTTCTTCCAGTTCTGCCCAAAGGCCCTGGCAGCAGAGCGGGCAGCGGTTGGCCCAGGACAGCAAATTGACAAGGAACACCTATTTGACCAGTGGTTGCTGAAAAACTACCCACCAGAAAAATGGTGTAACAAAAACTTGATGTTCTATAACATGCCTTGTCCAGGATGCCATCACCATTATTCCGAACATCCCAACGAAGAATTCTTTTCCTTGACTGTGTTTCGTGATCCAACCGAACGACTTTGGAGTGGATACCGCTATAATCGCCAGGGCAGTTGGCAGTCTGACAGCAATTCAACCTTTTACGAATTTATACGGGAACCCAACATTATGAACTGTCAGCTCAAAATGGTTCTGGGCCATGATTGCTGCAAACAAAATCGACAACAAATTGAGAATATGCGACTTAATGTCTCACTGGCCATTGAAAGAGTCAGCCAACCTCGTTTCTTTTTTGGAATCACAGAACGATGGGCTGAAACCATGTGTCTCTTTCATCGCTGGTTTGGGGGGGAGGTGTTGTCAGATGTTGATTTTCACAACAATCGAAAGGGAAGAACACTGCCTCCAGGCAAGTACCGTGATGATGTTCCCCCACACCAAGAACTGGAATGGTTTGAAGCTATAGTTCCAATATTTGAAGCAAGGCTCAAAGCAGCAAACTGCTTGGCCTACTCTCCACCATAACTGTAGAAATCCACAGGTCCTCTCTAGTATTTTGCGCAGTGCGTGATGGGTTGGCAGCGTTTGGATGATGTAGCATGGTGTTGGTAGGTTCTATACAGTACCGGTAGCTACATAGATCTATAGTGTAGGATCCTTCCTTCCAGAAAAGTTGCTGGGCTTCCGTTTCTACGAGGCGCCAAAGTCAAGCTTTTTGGTTCCGTTCAGTTAAGAAATCGACGACGGACAAGGTAGTGACATTTGCGAAACGCTTAGACTAGCTAGCTTGCTGCACCGTCAAGGTATCATTCCGTAGGAGCTCCGTAGCTGATGAGTGCCAACCAATGACACGGAATCGAATCGGAGTTGCATCTTTCCACATGCAAAAGGGCTCGTCAGTATGCATGAGGGAAAAAACTCTGAAAGAAAGAGATCCTTCGGTTTTAGATCCGGGCACTGTCTGAGATGTCTTCCACTTTCCTTGCAGGAAGTGCAAGACATCTTATTATTAGGTTGAGCGCAGCATTGGTGTCCCTCCAACGCTCCATCTGCGTCCACCCACTACCGGTACAGTACGGTACCAGGTACCCACCTCAGGAATTGAACAAGTACGACGCAAGTACGACTAACGAAACCCGCCATGTCATCTCGCAGCTACCAGTTACCACCATACTGGTAGGAATAAGATAGAAGATAGACACTAAACTAAGTATGTACCACCGCAAGAGACCAACTAACTCTCCACTTACTTGTCTTGGTCGTTGCAATGACGGCGACGTTCAAAAAGCTGGCTACCATGGGTTTGTAACTTCTGACAGCCAATGAAAAGAGTTCCACAACGGGGACAGCTGGGAGCGTTCGAGTGACAGTCCGTGATGTCTGCATGGCAGTTCCATCATGGCCAATAATTAAATTTTCACTGGGCGCGAGAGCACGACCATTAAAACCTAATCCATGACGCGATCTTTCTCCAGAACCTTCACCTTCTTGGAAGTGCGATAAGAGATATAGAAAAGTGCACAATGAAAAGACTCCTTGACCACAACAACGAAGCAAAGTATTGATGATTCGCAGATTCGCTGACGTATGAAAACTGCCCAGAAGCACGACGGAGGCAAAGGATCTTCCATTATGACTTTGAGCATATTTTGATGGCGCACGAATCCTCCTTCATAGCCACAAGAGCAAAAGTAAGTGGTAAGTTTGTCAGAAGTCAAAAGTAAGTAGGATTCGTGCCTCTCTACTAGCTAGCTAGTAGTATGCCGCATCATAAGTCCAACTGAAGCACAGGAAACACTCCACGTTCCGCTCTCACAAAATCTCATCCAGCATTTTCATTTACAGAGCAATCACCATGACAACTTCCAACAATACCGCTAGTGGATCTCGCCCTTGCTCTTCCAATTTGGATTCGCAGACCAACCACAATGGACGTGCGCCCAATGCTCTTCACATTATGTTTGCCGTCCCGGATCATGCTCATCCTTCCCCATCAAGTGTCTCCAATTTGCGGTCGAGTCTCTCAACGATTTGTGGGCCCTACTCAGGCATGTCTACTCTTGACATACTCGATGCTGCTATTGCGGTTTCTCACCCGTCCCAGTCCCAACCAAGGCAGTAACATTGAGACTTGTGGCCTTGTCGACCTGTCCGTCTTGGTGTATAGCTAGGAGCTGCCTCGTCCACTGCCGCCCGAAGCGAAGTACAGTGGTTGGAATTGAATCGAAGCGAATCAACTAATCGAATGGAACCTCCTGATTTTTGAAGGCGGCAAGTTGCAAGTGGGGCAGTGACCCTCTGGCAGTCTTTGTGGCCGCCTCCCATGTTGCCATCTCTCTAATCATGGAAATGCAAACTTGAAGTCTAATTAGAAGCAGAATAATAATAATGATATAGTGCTAGCAAAACGTATGAAACTGTATACTCTGGATTGACCACCTACATGGTCTCTATCTACCCTAAAGGTGTACTGAAGTCTTCTAGTGATAGGCTTTCGATCATCCTGTATAGCTTATCCCTCTGACTTCTTATAGACACACTCTTTGTGGACTTCAGTCTTTGTTAGTACTCATTTTGGTTTCAATCATCTCGAAGAACTTCAAACAACCTAACTATTGCTTGCTCGCCCAGTCTCTAGTGTTGCTTGCTCGCCCAGTCTCTAGTGTTGCTTGCCATGAGCTACACTAGTTGCAGGTCTGGGTTCGGGCTACCCTGTGGGCCTTGTTGGCCGTCTACTCGAGGGCAAAGCACCAGCCAACGAGCAACGTGCTGGGATGACAGATCTCTCAGTGTCTTGCCCCAAGCTGCAGTTTGTGCACCACGTTGCTGCATCTGTAGCTTGCTTTCCTGGTTCTGCATCATTCAGCGCCTCGGCAAGATGGCCGAAAAATCTATATACCACGAGTTCCATTGCTCCATTGCTCCATTCAAGAAGGGATGATCTAGCTAGTAGAGCCAGCTAGAACCCCCCAATGATGGGTTCAGAATTGCCCATTCTCCGCGATCTGGTAGCTGTCACTCTCGTACCTTGCCAAGGCAGCTGCTCTCTTCCGCAAGGAGGAAATCCTCAGTGTCCGCAGACATGCTCGACATATCGTCATGAGCTTTGATCTTTATACCTTCAACGTGAAAACCAAATAACTTCCTTGACTGACTTTCCTGGAGATTGTCCCTATCTCACCATGAAGTCCCAGAATCGGAAGGGTTCATCAGCTCCAGCCAATGACAACACATACATGGTCATTGGCTGTGTTGTCATTGGCTGGAGCTGAGGCCCGCAGCAGACAGGCACGACGGTAGCTAGATACATGCTGCAGGACTTGAGCTCAGGACTGCATAATATTAAATTTTAGGTACTGTCTTCTACTTTCTATTAATAGAGGTGCTGGAGCTATGGATTATGTACTGGTTACTGGTACGTAACATTATGTCCCTGTCAGATTCACCTTGACTGACCTTGACCACTGTGAAAAGCGCACTTTCTGGAAACATTCATCACACTTCCACACTCGGACAATGTTGTTCGATGACGAAAGCCAAGCTGTGGCAAGTTGACCACTAACAGGTGATTGGCTCTTTCCCTGCTTTGCGGAAACTTCGCTCATCTCTGGTTGACAGTAACGGTACTACAGTATTAGACTAATAGTACCAACAGCTCTGGCTGTAGTAGACTAAACGGTACCTTTAATTAAATAATGTGTGTACCAGGTAGCTGTTCAGCGATGGTGTGCAACGGCTGCGTATTGGAAACCTGAAGTACGTAGCATACTAGCTAGCTAGCGGTAGCAGGAGCAGTGGCCCACACAGCCACCAGCAGCTCACCCAGCATCATTCAATCAAAACATCACTGTTCTGATAGCTGTTCTGAATTCGGTGAAGTGTTTTGGATGTCCGGAGACTTCGACTATTAATAAAAGTAATGCTATTTTCATCGAGCGAAGCTGTGAAGAAACTCCAGGATCCAGAAGCACAACAGAATCAGCTGTTCGGTACTAGTACTCAAAAAGATACTTTCGATTCTCAATTTGAATTGTGAACGATTTTCATTGGTTGCTGTCTGGCGATTGAATGCCCCTGGTCTGCCAGGAGTTTGTATTCTGGCACAGCCCTCTTGCTTCCTGGCCAATAGGCCGACACGCCGACATGCCTATGCATCGTGCTTTCCTCCCACTTGTAGATCCTTTGAGCTCATAAAATTACTTTCACACTCCTCACAGTTTTCAGTTTTCATCAGTGCACCGACTCGACTCTCTTTTACAACATTATTTCTTGCTACAGCCTACCATGAGCTCCTCTCCGCGCAATACCCACCCAGTCTGCAGTCCTCCTTCCGCAACTGCCGCCGCGCCTGTCAACGGAAGCAATCCCGTCCCTCTGGCAAGCATCATGTTGAACGGTATGATGCATCGGGGCAACCCATCAGGCCAGCTAAGGGTGGTGCCGCGCACACATCCGGCGACCATGCTTGGCAGGTACCGTGATATGTCTTTGATCGATGCTATCGATGAAGCCCTTGCCTTGGGGGGTTCTGCTACCTTTGGGGAAGAGGAGATGCCCATGGATGAGCCTCGTGCACAAGACCGTTGAGCCCAGCTATTGATACGGTGATGCGACCTTGGCTGGAGAAGCAAACTTGCTTGCATCTCTGTTCTTGCTGTTTCTGCTGCGGAATTGTTTGCTTCGGCTTCCTTCGGCTTCCTTCATTCGCTATCATGGGAAAAGCAAGCATGATGATCGCCTCACTCTGGCAATTGCATCGCTGCAAACGCACCAACGGTGCTGCGGTGGAGACCGCACATGACAACATTGTATTGATCGCTTGAGTACTAGCGGTAGACTAAATAACATAAATGTATATACTAAGTTCCACAGAAATTTAAAACTACTGGCTGCTGTAATAGAACAGTACACCTCATCAGTAGGCTCCTCCAAGTTGCGATCGCTCTTTCGTCATGGTTGAATGTAGGTGGTAGCCCTCGGATGTGGCCATCTGGCCCGGAATTTGCACCTCCCACACCATGGACGGAGCTACGTTAGTCTTTTGATACTGGAGCAGTCTTCGTGCCGTTGTTGCAGTACATGTACCGTACGAGCGATAGATGGGTGAATGAGCTGTTGAATGTGCGGTGCGGTACGTTTGTCTTTGGGTGTGCCCATCTGCCCCGGAATTTGCGCCTCCCTCACCGTGGACGGAGCTACTTTTGTCTAGCTAGCAGCTAGCTACTACTAGTAGGTAGCTAGCTAGTCTTCGTGGCATTGTTGCGGCACATGTATGCATACCGGTAGCGAGCGCATCGACGTTGCCAACTTTTCGCAAACCTTGAATACACAGTACAGTAAAAAGACAGCTAAATAATGTCTGTCTTTCCGTATTCCCCTCAAGACAAAAATAGACAAAACATCGATTTAATGTCGGGTGAAGTGTGAATGAACCATCGCAGAAATCAAGAACCGCTTCAACTTATCTGTGCCTTAGAGGCCAAGGGTCACCCGAAAAGCCCACTCACGTACTTGTACCGGAAACGAACATCAGCTGGTCATAATAATGTCATACGAATGTCTTACTGTACTAACGGTACAGTGTTCGAGAGAGATCTGTGAAATCTGTTGGGGACAGCTGACTGACTCACCAGCCATTGACGCAGATCCTGATGGCACGATGAATGGGGGCTGCGAGCCCCTGCCATCACCGCGGATCTCCGGATACAACATGTAGCCGGCTGTGACATTCGAACTGAGTCGAGTCGAGTCTGCTACCGGTAGCTACGTAGTCCAGTCGATCTGTCCCTCTTCTACCAATTCAGAGTACTGTTGAGGTCCATCTGTTGTTGAGTTTTTTTAAAAACTCATCAGTCAATCTATCACGGCTGGCTACCGTACGACACCCCTTGCTTGATACCCAGCTTCTCGACTTGGATTCTTTCCTCTCAGACAATACAGTATATTACAATGATCCTCCAAGAGGTGGCAACTTCCAATTTTCTGTCATGGTGCGATGCCCAGGGCATCCAGTCGTCACTCCTTCGTCTACAAGGATCACATCCCTATCGGTACTTGACTTGTGAGAAAGATTTGTCGCCTACCAAAAATGACAATTCGCTATCTCTGTTACAGGTTCCCCTGAGTGCCTGCTTAAAAGGTGATTCCCAAACGGCCTTGGCGGACCGATTAACCTTTGAGAAAATGTTGGGAGAAGACTCGGAGTTCTACCCCTATCTCTGCATGTTACCGCCGCCCTTGGAAGATGCCACATCCTCCTTGCTGGAAATTCCTCGATTCTGGAGTCCCGCCCGTCTGGCTAGTATCACCAACTTTGACGGGGGCCAGTTGGCAGCCAGACTGGAAGCGACGGCGTTGACGGACGAAGAGAAACTCGTCGATGCATGGGCACTGACATGTGTCAAGACGAGATCCAATTTCTTGAAGGATGGATCGTATGCCATGACGCCACTGTTGGACATGTTGAATCATGATGGTTCCATTACCACCAAAGCCGATGTCAGCGACGACGACGATGTTTTGGATTTGTGTGTAAGAGGCCACTCCTTTTCGGCCGGGGCAGAAGTCAAAATGAGCTACGGGGACTTGACCAATTTGGATACACTCTGCCAGTATGGTTTTGTAGCAGACGACAATCCCCTCAACGTCGAAACGTTGGAGGTAGGACTAATCATGGCAAAAGATCCCATTACCGTGGCCATTGCTTCGGACGGAACCATTGCGCCCGAAGCACTGGCCATGCTGCGACGATTGTTGGCCGCGGGTGCGGATTTGAAAGGAAAGAATCGCAATCAACTGAGTGAATTCATGGAACCTCTCTCGGACAACAATGAACTGGAAGTCGTGTCCTTTTTGGCCACCGAGTTGGATATGAGCGCCAAAGATGCTCGTCGAGGGACACTGGAAGCTGCTACCGTACGAGAAGATCGAATGGTGACAACGTACTTGTCCTCGAGGGCTTCCGTACTGGAAAAGGGGATTGAACGCATCCTGGAACGATTCCCGGACTTGGAATACTGCTGATCGCCTTCCAATACGCTCGGTTTGAGTGAGGCACGAAGCACCAATCACGGAATATTGGGTGTGATGGTGTGCAACTATAATATAGTAATGCTATAGCTAGCTAGAATGCGCTGCAAACCACTCCCAAATTGAATTTGAGGTTGATCCGTCCGGCTGTACCGTACCGTACTGCGCCATTGCAAAACACTTCGTCCTGATCTCGGTGCTCACTGGGAGAAGCAAAGACAACCATTAGTTACGGTACCAATGCGTTACACTATGATTTTGAATAGGGTAGCCAGAAAAGAAAAAACAAAGAATCTAATATCATGAAAAAGTACAGACCCTTTGGAAGACACTACTACCATTGCCAGGTTAGCAAAAGTAGTAGGAATGGAACAATGGTCCATGATGACAACCGCCAAATAGTACCACCAGATGAATCATTGTTGTTGTTGTCTGCTTCATTGCTTGCATCCACAGTATCTTCCACATCGTAAATGGTCATTTCCGTCGTCGTATCGGGCGGCGGCGCCGGGGCCGGTGTGGTAATTATGGTACTCCCGTCCATATTGGTGGCAGTATTGTCCAGACTCTGCTCGTTAGATGCACCACAATTGTGACAAAACGGTCCCGGTGGTCGGACATCAAAACTGGGATCAAATGGATTGGGACAATTGGAAGCGGTAAAATCGCGACTGCCAAAGATGTTTTCGACATTGGCATTGCGATTCATTTTGTCTCCCCACGCACATAAATTCTTATCCATGGCCGCCCCACGTCCAAACATGTCCATGAAATTGTTGGCCGCGGAAATATCCCAGGCACTAATATCCGTATTGAGATTTCCCGCGGCCGATGCAAAGGATTCAAACGTCAAGACTTTTCCGACGTTCCATTTCGATAGATCCGTTTGAATGGATGCGGAATTGTAAAACATGAACGACACATCGCGGGCATTGCTCATATCCCATTGACTGAGATCGCCCGTGAATCGAGGGGATTGTCGGAACATGGATTTGAACGATGTGACTTTGGAAACGTCCCAGGATTGGACCTGACCGAAAAAGGACACGCAGCGTTCAAAGCAGCTGATATTTTATTATTGTTGTAGAGTGGATTGTAGCGTTGGTTTGGTTTGGGTTTGGTTTGATGCACAAAAAGAAAGAAACAAATGTGTCATGAGGCAAAAACATCAACATACATGAGACATGAGACTTGTCGTACTGTTGTACTTACCCTTCCATGTTGGTAACAGAGGAGGTATCCCATCCTACCAAATCTTCATTAAAGGCTCCTTGGTTGGCAAACAATCCCGAGAAATCGGTAATTCTCGAGACACACCAATTTCCAATGGGATGACCGTACTTGCTCGCCACTTCCGAGGTAGCCGACTTGTCCGCCATGTACGCGACAATGGCTTGACTCAGTTCATCCTTGGTATTGAAACATTCTTGACCAGACACTCCTTCGAAACAACAACCACAAACACTAATCACCAACACCAGTGTCACTAATAATGGAAGAAAGTAAAGTAAAGGACATGCATGAGACATGAGAAGCCCACAATAGAAGAACTGCCGGAACAAAAGGTTTGCAGCAGAGCAATCCGCCATGCTACCGATCCGATACTTACATAGATTCCGAAAGAGACTCATACTGAAGCTCCCCGCTCTTGGGTGGGATGCTCTCTGTCTTTTGCTGCCAGGACAACGCATCGTATCTCACTATGATCAAAGCAAGGTTGCTCCGACGAGAAATGAATGAGATAGAGCAATTATGGACTTGTCAATTGTCAATGCATTATCTCGGTCATAACACAATTTGGTTGGCCTGACTCGATGTCTCTTTTCTGTTCCTTACTACAGTGTCCGCAATAAGGATTTCTACTGTTTACTCTTTACTCTTTACGCTTTTGTGTTTGCCATTAAAATTTTTAGCTGGGTGTGTCCGCAATAACAGCTTCCTTTCTTTACTCCCTGACGACTTCTGATGACTTCTTTTCACCAATTTTACTTAATGGAAAGACAAAAAGAAGAAGTGGAAAAGGTAAATCTACTTTCTACGTCGTCTACTTTTTTAAGGTAGATGAGGTAGATTTACCTTTTACTCTTCACTGTTTCACTTTTTGAAATAGTGAAACTTTTGCTTGAAAAAGTGAAACTACTTAATGTAAAGAGTAGAAAACCCTTATTGCGGACACTGTACTAGCTATTAATAGTACTTGTTCATTCCACTGCAAAGACTAAGTCTTGTTCATTCCACTGCAAAGATGAGGCAATTATTTGCTCAAGATGGGGTAATTGCATTCGGAACCAGGCCAGATCGTCTTTCTCTAAGTACCGGTACCAGTACCAAAGGACTTAGACGGGGTAATTAGAAGGTGTGACTGGCTAGCGTGGGATCTCAGCACGATTTGTGTCCACAAAGATCCCAGATGTCACGGCTCATTTTTTTGTGTTGCTCTGTTGCTGGTTTGCCGCCAGCAACAGCATCCATTTCTGGTCCTGATGCTTTGCGAATACTCGAATATCTTCTCTTGAGAGTACAAGTAGAGAGTGTGCATCTTCAAGAACAGTCAAAGCACGTTTCGATACACCAGCTCCTGTATTATTGGTATCCATGAAGAGAGATTGGATCTCAGCTTGTGGGTTACACACGGCTCAAATTCGGCATGTTGCAAACACAGACGGTTCTCCACAGTCGACCCAGTGGATTGACAATGGCGTCGTCTATAACGACGAAACATGGTCACAAGAAGAAGAGTTGCTCCAGAAATATGTCAAGATTGGGGTGCTTCCTTCTACTAGTAGTGCAAGTGCAACTACTGTTGACGGGTGCTGCTGCTGCAAGAACAACCACTCTTCGAGGGGTACGAAAAAGACCATCACCTCGATATTATTCGGTTTCTGACGCCGACAGACAGCTTGATAAAGATGCAGATAACAAGAACAACAACAGTGTGGATAAGATACGAGGCACCGGCCCTGATGATGCTGATACAGATGACTATCCCGCCTTTTCAGGTGCCAGTCGCAAGGAAGCAAAGAGCAAACACAAGAGCCAAAAGGGCGGCACCAGAAAGTCTACTAGCAGCAAACAGCAGCACTCCAAGAGTCTACAACAACACAACAGCCACAACGTTTTTGATCATGACACGTCGTCGTCGTCCAGTCGCAGTACGCACAATGAAACCAGTCATTCGCTTCATCATACCGGTGCATCTCAAGATGCAGAAGAAGAAGAAGAAGAAGAAGCAGTATTGAGCCAAGAACAAAACAATAATCTACAACCCGACAAAGTTCCAATGCAACCAGTCCAATGCGCAAGAGCCATGCCCATTCAATCGGCTTTGTTGGTGCGCATGGTCGGGGAACCATCCTTGCTGACGCGGTTTGAGAAATTCCAGCTGGGACAAGTCGTTCGAGAGAGTTACAATGAGTGGATGCAGTGGGCATGTGATGGGTTCCATCGCTCCGTGGAACAAGTAGAGATACTACCTGTCGACAACAATAATAATAATAATGTTGCTTTGATTTCGCAAGCTCATGAAGAGGCATGGTTGCAAGATCAAGGGGTTCGAAGCAATAATAATCAGGACGAGGAAGATGCCTCGGCAATGCTGTTGTTGGTTGAGGCTGAGGAATTCACAGATGAAGAAAATGAACTTGTTAAAGACGGAGGACAGCCTCCGTCACCGGCTCCTACTTCCCAATACAAGGACCCAAACAGTTACTATCATCCCTTGTACTGGTTCAGCATATCGGCTACCTGTCGCAACTGTCCACGAAGCAGTCGCGGAAACTCCAATCTACTCGCCAGGCATGCATCATCGATGACATCCAGGAATGACACTCGCCTGGTGGATGACGCTGCTGGTCGACCGGCATTGTCCGCCGCGTCGTTGATTTTGCAAGAGGTTTGCTTTTGCCCCCTTGCCAAAGTCGACGACAATGGAACGGAACCCGCTTTGTTGACCCTTGATCGACTCTTTCCCGACGCAAAAGCTCCCACATCCGAAGAGTTGCTCGAGGCAATCAATGGGAGGATTCAACAATTGCGATCGGACGGGACACTGCTTCATGTCGAACGACTTATACAACTCACCGAACCTGACTACGCATATTATGCCGAAGCAACCATGTTGGAGACGGAGCATAGCATTGACGAAACGACAACTAGCGATGGTACCGTCCACCATGAGGGGGGCGAGGAACCGGCGAACTTTGCGAACAACAATGGCGAAAATGCAAGCCATGACCTTGAGAGTACCGAAGACGGCCTTGGTGAGGAAGTGGAAGTGGGTGTTGTTATTCCTCCCAACGACAATTCGCCATTGGAAACGACCCCAACATCGTCAACAGCTCCAACACTGCCTGCTGCAGCTCCAGATATTTCTCCAACACATTCCCCAACACCAACAGAGTCAAAAGGACAAAGGATATCATGTGTATCGATGAGTGTCACTGCTTCAGTGACAGCACTTGGGTTCTTCCTATGGACTGCCTAACTTCAAATGCCTAACTTCAAAGACTCATAATCCCAATGACGAGAGAGCCATTTATACCAGGCGGTTGAAAGAGCTACAAGACACAACAGGATTGACTGCTTTTCAGGTCCGAAAGCGGACGATTAGCAGAATTCTGATGGCAGAGACTGCGTACAGGTTTCTGAAACTTGCTTATACACATTGCTTTCAGCATCCAAACCAACTTGGTACTGGTAGGCTGGTTCTAGTATGGGCACTTGACACAACCATGCTGCATATCAAGAAGTTCATCTAAATTTTTCACCCCACAAGATGAGACGTCATCCGGAGGAACAAAGCCACGATGAAGAGCATCATCAGCATTTTTCATCACATTTTGTTCGTTGATCAACCGACAACTGATGTGCGCTTGGTAATTGAGCTTCGCCTGGCAACCGACGATCGCCTACCACCAACAAGCGAGGTACGCCTGACAGCTGGGCCCCGCGTTTCGCGAGTTTCGATAATATCTGAGTCATCCAGATTAGCAGAGATTTTGTGATGAAGATTCTTGAACATGATCTTGCGAACGGCTTTCTTCATCTTGGCATTCGTTTCGTCTTCTTCGTGCCTGTCCACGAGACCTTGCCAGTCGGCTGCAACTTTGGATGTGAGGTTTATTTCATGTGCATCCTCTACTTTCATTGCCTCGTTCTCAAGCTGATGGATGATTCGTAGAGTTTCCTTCTTCGTTGCTGCTGGCATGTTGGACTCGAGAATGTGATTTTCAAGAATGTGCAAACGAGTCTCCGCGGAAAGGGTGGGGTGGAGACAAATTTCAGGGTCTTCCTTCTCTTCCGCTTCTAATTCTGCTTCGTCTTCCTCCTCGTCGTCGTCCTCCTCTGTGGCACCGGGGCCGGCTGCCTGTTTGTTCCAGAGTTTGGCGTAGATTGATCCTTCTGTCTTCAGCAGCTCTTCGTGCGTTCCACTTTCCACAACCTTCCCTTTGTCAAAGGCAACGATGCATTCAGAGTTCTTGATGGTCGACAACTGTACGGGCAATCGGAATGTTAGCGAGGAACTCATGACTGCAGATTCAAAAAAAGTTTTCCAAGAACTCTTACCCTGTGAGCAATGACCAACGTCGTTCTTCCTTCCATCAGTATGTTCAGCGCTGCCTGCACCTTCTCTTGCTACATCGAGAGATTTTTTGGGAGGTGCGGTATGTAAGGTTGCAGTTGCCACAACATCGTGATAGATCACAGATTCTCAAACAAACTTACGTTTTCTTCATCGAGAGCCGAAGTTGCTTCGTCAAGCTGGGCATTGAAGGGAGGGAAAGCGAGCTGAAGTCAGCGTACAGCAGTATCACATCTCTGTTACATCGTATGGAACCCAAACTACATCCCTTCTGAACTTACAAGCAAAATGGGTGGGTCCACCAGAATGGCTCTTGCGATCGCGATGCGTTGTTTTTCTGTTTGGTGTCGGAAGAACGAGTGCCGGTCCAGAGAACGGAGTAAGAACATTGAATGCATGCACCTGGGTATGAAAAGAAGAATGGTGGCAGCCTGGAACTTACCGCCCCCTGAGATGTTGCCTTGCGAACTCATTCTCGTGTTCAGTCCACGAGGAAACTTGTTCTTGTCCTTAATAGCATCAAGTATGTTTGCCGCCCGACATGCATCTTCGATCTCCTTCAGGCTGGGTTCAACTTTGCATCCAAACGTAAGATTCTGATCACATGACACCGACAAAAGTTAGCTTCATGTTTTCATTTCGGTATTGCGCCATTTGAGAAGTGTGTCCTTACCTGCCGAAGGGTTATTGGTAGAAGTTGTGGCTCTGAGCAAGGAAGCAATAACAAATTACAAAACCCGAGGTGAGCCGAGCGTAGGTCGCGAAACTTGAAACAAATCTGCACGTGGAGGAATACCTTGGGCCACGACGGCCATCTGCGATCGAAGCCAAGTGGGGTTGTATTCTCGGATATCAATGCCGTCTAAAAGGATGCGCCCCCCGGTGACATCATAGAACCTTTCAAGGAGGCGCATAGCTGTGGACTTGCCACAGCCTGCAGAGAAGAGAAAACACGAGTGACGAGTCGAATCTGTGTGAGCAGGGTGCCACAAATCACCGAATGACACTACCGAATCTACGTGTAGCTCTTACCTGCACTTCCGGTTATTCCCAATGTCTGACCCGGGCCGACCGCCATTGACGCTCCTTTGAGCACCTCTGCACCCCTAGGATACGAAAATTGAACCTCCTGCGCAACCAAAAAGAATGAGACAAGTCAAATCATCAGCAGGAAGATTTGCGTCTTGAAAGTTCTAAGGTTGCACTCACCTCGAATTTGATATGGCCTTTGGCTCTATTGGGTGGCACAAGTCCGCAATCAGGGTCAATTTTAGACTTCAAGGTGCACATATCGTACACCTGTCAAGGGCAAGATGAAAGAGAAGATTCTTAGGACGGTCCAGCCAGAGGCCAATGGTTGTGAAAAACCAAGTCACATTTGAACTGTCGCACCTTAGCAACTGGGCTAGCTTGCTTTATGACACTTCTGAGCAATCTCCAAGATGTTTGCGTTGTGTCTCCAACTTCTTCAGCAGATGTCAATAGATTGTGGGCTTCAGCAATTCCGACCTTGCCTTTCTTTGCCAGCTTTGAAGTCGTATCAAGCTGCACCACTTCACCTGCTTGTTTGGCGATGGCATCTAGGAGGAGAAACAAGAAGGACGACGTGAGCGTATGCAGCCACATCCAGCTTCCATGGAACACTGTGTCAATCAAGGGTGGATTGTACTGTACCAATTGGCTTGCGCAGGGACTCAACCATAAACTCTCGCTGGCTAAGAAACATTGAAGTGGGTTTAGTGAGTATGTCCTCAAAATGAGGAAACATCTGGTGCAAGTTGTTGTACTGTTCCGTACCTTTTCTGAGCCTCGCAGGCGAGACTTTCGGTGTAGACTTTGACTTCCTTCTCGCACCGAGCAAATGATTTGAACATTCGAACATAGCTTGGATCCAAACGGTCCATCCAAGTCCATTCATCGCCTTCCAAAACTCCCCTGACAGCAAACTTATGAAGCCATCGAAAGCCAAAAGATGACATGAAATTGAATGCAATGACTGCAAACTGCGCCGCAAGGAGTGTGTACACGCTGCTGCTAGATGCCCTGTAAATGACGTAGACGTGGGTGACAATGGTGGTGATATTGCTGACCATGTCCTGTGGAGTGGACAAGAACTTTTCAACATTGTCGCTGGCTTCGTACAAGAGCCAAATGAAGGTCCACGCCTCTTTCCCGTCACGTTCCATGGCTCGCCACCATTCCAAGTCTCGTTTGGTGAATGCTTCAAAGTATTTCACTTGAAGCTTTCGTCCCAAGACACGCTGCCCACGCTCAATGAGGACATCGGTGACCAGTTCCATCACGGTGCTTAGAAGCTCAATGAGTACGGATGCTTTGGCCGCCATCCAGAACTGGTCGCCTCCTTCAATCAGACTCTGGAGCACTTGGGCTCTGTAGGAATAGGACAAGGCAGTAGTGGAGGCTGTAAGGGTTGTAAAGACTGTCTGGGCCGCAACCCAAATCAAAGAATCAGTGCCAGCAATGGCAATCATTTTGCATGCCTTGGAAATTCCCTCAAAGCCAATCTGAATTCCAAGTTTCCAAGCGACACGGATTTGCCTATTGATGCGTTTTTTGTCCTCCGGATCTTGTTGGTACCCTGCCGAAGAGGAAAACTTTTTGAGGTTACCATAAATCCGTTCCATGAGAGCTGCCAGCTTTTCGCCATCGGCATATTCTACTACAGTCTGTTCTCTGGTTTTGTCAATGGCAATCCTGAGCTCTTTCTCAAATAATTTCCACAGCCAATCAATGGCGTCCAACATGACGGCCTCTTTGTAGTCGGAAAGTTCGGCCAGTTCACGAATTTTGGAGAGTAATTCCTTGGCATCCACAGTTCCCAGCTCATCACTTTTCAATTCTTCGTGTTCCTTGAGAGTGGACACATATTCCTCAATCACTTCGTGTCGTTTCTCGAACTGTTCCTTGTACATGTCTTCTTGCGCTTGGGTAGGTTTGGCAGTCAGAACACTCACAATTTGGAAGAGAACCACCGTGGAAATAACGGCAATCAGAATGGGTACATTGTGTACCACGCATTCTGCGGAAGGAGGCCAAGTCTCCCAGCAATCTTCGGAGAAAAAGCCCTTTAAGAGACCCACCACAAATCCTGATTGTTGATGGGATAACCCTGCTACCACCACCAGAATGGCCCCGATGGTGCCTGGTAACATCAGACTGTTGCCCTTCTCCACCATGGTCAATCTCTCTCTCTCGCGATCCTACTAGTACTATAGCCAGGATATTGGAAAGCTTTCTTATCTCTTTGTGTGGTTATTACATGAAGGATTGAGGCAAGATACCTCGAGAAACCGAATGTGGCGGTAACACCGCTTGATCGCTCTCGGAACTTTTTGTATCTTGCGTATCCTTTGATCTTTCTCACAGAACAGCCTTAATGGCTTACATTACTGGCAAAATTGTTTACACCGGGACAAGAATTTCTCTCTCTTTTTGGACATTGTCACGATGGAAGCTAATCCCTCCGGTGTTGGGCATTGCTTTTTGCACCTTGCAGTATCCGTTGCTGAGCACAGTGCACACCCTAAAAGTGTCGGACACATCGCAATCACCCACTTGGTACTGGTATCCTTTTCTGAGCACAGTACATACCCTAAAAGTGTCGGACACATTGTAATCACCAACTTTGTACTGGACTGGGCTAACGGGCAGAAGTTTAACGGCAAGAAAGAACTGACCCGCGGTCCTTTAGCTATTAGGTATACCTTTGACGATTAGGTTCATTAGTTTTTTGACATGCAATGTACACGTATCGTGTCCAGTTTAGACTGCCCTTTGTAGAGCAGCATCCGCTTTAAATCTTGGGCAAGGCAGCGGGGCGATAAGCCAGATCGTCTTTGGCAAACAAGAAGTCTTGACAGCTTCGACTCTGCTTGTGCTGATCGTCGGCTCCGTGGCCACAAATGTAACCCCACTCGTTGAACTCACTTCTACATCCATTCTTCTCGAACTTGGCCTTGCAAGACAGCACCCTCGACGAAACGAGAGTGAACCCTGCTTCTTCCAGGAGCGGGAACATCAAGCCAAAGTAGTAAAGATCCTCTTCAGTTTTTACGAATTCTTCAGCAGCGTGCTTCTTCACAGAGACTTGCCCAAACTTGTGGAAGAAAGTGGGGTCCTCGACAAGAATGTCACGCATCATGGCAATTTCACAACCTTCGCAGTCAAGCCTGAGTACGTCGGCGAAATCCAACCTGAGAAACTTCTGGATGGCGGGGACGGAGGTGTTCCAGGAGTTGTGTTCACGTTGTTCTTTCGTCGGTTTTTCGTCTCCATAGCTATGCAGTGATGAAAGCTCGTAGTTTTGGAAGGAGACGGAGGGTGCCAACTTGGAGTTCTTCACGGCCACAGGGTCCACCACGAAACCCCTACATTCCATGACCTTGGCCAGGTTCTTCTCAAAGATACCGTCGCTGTGAAGACCAAAAGAGAGGAAGGAACAAGGCTTCGAGGGCAACGTGTCACAAATGTCGGTGGGAGAGTTGGGAACAAAGTCACAGATCTTTTCCTTTTCAATGTGCTGTTTCGTCCATGCCCCGCCAATCTTCCAACCATAGCGCTCAAAGTATGGAACCAACTCTTCCAGGGCCTTCACTTGCTGATCAGCAGTCATGTCATGCCACAACCTCCACTTTGGGTGCAAGCTGTGCTCGGATGGCTGGAAAGGCATCATGGCAGGATGAGCAGCAAGAGCCATCGCAAGGGATCGTCCACGCACACCTTTGGGAGGGTACTCAGAAAGGAATTTGCCCTCGTCAAGACCGTCGTTGCCACTGAAAGCAATCGTCACCATCATGACCACTGCGACCATCGTCATAACGGTCCTGCCATGCCGAGTGATGAGATCACGTCGAGCCTCTCGCTTGAGGACCTTTCGGTAGTTTGTTTCCTTAACAAGCTTTGTGGCCTTGTAGATTAGTTCTCTAGACTTGATTTGCAACCATTCCTTCGAATTGAGAAGGTTCTGCTTGTTAATTTGCTTCATCATCTCCATCACAAGGTAGAAGAACATCTTGGCTTTCTTTTCGAAAGCTTTCTTTGCAAGAAGCATGTTGGGCTTGGCGTCTTTCATTGCGTCCACCACAGCACGGAAGAACTCAGTGGACTTGGCTTCGATCTTCTGCTTTGCAATCAGCATCGTTCGCTTGTCCGCATTCTTCGCCATCTCCAACATGCTAATCACAAACTCTTTGGCTTTGTCCGCGATAGGCTTGGAGTTAGCAGAGGAGGAATCAGCCGATTTTTCCACATCATCGTTCTTCTTGTGATTGGCATCATCGTCGTTCTTCTTGTGCTCGGCCGAATCACTGAATGGTTCGTCAATTGCGTCGTCTTTCATCATGTTGATTCGATTCTTTACGTTTCAACTTAGCTCGGAGGTTCAACAGTTAGTTTTGGAAGTCGGATGACTGGAATCGCTGAAGTTCAAATTATGTGCACATTATGTGAATTTCTTAGGATACTGTTTGGGCATCAATTTAGATTTGGTGGCTCCGAAGAATCAACATGCATGACTGCTATCCCAAAGATCGCTGTAAGCATCAACCTCGAGCTGTCCGGATGTCGTGTTCCGATGCTGTGAAAATCACCACGAGTTTCCACAGGGGTCGTCGTACGCGGGCCGAGGAAAATCTTTGCCAATGCTCGAGGAGCTTCAGTCACAGATCGTCGTCCAAGATGCTAGCTACTAGTACCTAGCCAGCGGTAGATAGATTGGATTCGGACAGTTCGAAGCAACCGGACACCACATACACCGGACATAATATCTTGCACATAAGTTTCATACAGTTATTAGCAGTCAATAGCAAGCAAGCTGGCTGACCCAGTCGACCCATTATTCAGATTCCAGAGATATTTATCCATTTGGTTGCACGAGACCAACAACGCAAAGAAGAAGAAGGAACACAAACAAGATGAGAGCTTCGAGACGCCCCATTTTGGCCTCTAGAATCAAGTCAGTTTTTGTTATTGTGCTCACGACAATGACAATGCTGCTCACGACAATGACAATGCTTGACAACATCCGGAGCTTCCTGCAAGCGGCAAATGTTTCTCCTGGTGAATTCACTGCGTTGCCGGGTGAATTCCTTTTGGAAGGACGTCGAACTCTCTCTGCAGAACACATGCCAGTGTCGAAGGATGGGGAGGCTGACTTACATTTTGGTATCCTCATGGACAGAAACCGAACAGAGTATCAAGATGCGTTTGTCATAATTGAACATCAATCTGGTCACGGCGAAGAAGTGACGAACAATGCTGATAGCAGGAGGCAGATTATGACCTCAGAGAAAACTGAAGTGCCCGTGGTAACGAACCTTGAAGCTAAGGAAGCTTTGAAGGTTCAATCGCGAGTGACCAATGCAACGCAGACATTCGGTGATGCCAACAATAACGATGATCACAACGATATTGAGAAAGCCTACCGGTATCCTAATTCGCCTACAAGTGAAGCTAGGAGAAAACTTGAGACAAAGAGCGAAGAGCCCAGCGTATTCGAGCAGGAGACAAACAAGATAGCGGGTGGCAACTCAACAGATACATCTGATGTGGATCGTGGCGCTAAGGAAGATACTTTTCCAACGTCACGGAAAGGCGTTCAGCTAAAGCTTCGGAGCCACCACGAAGCGGAAGCAACCGAACAATCATTTTAGTCCGCGTAGGCAAAGCCAGTGGCTCCACCATCCGCAAAACCTTGCGCCTATTGAGTGCCTGGATCTTCCTGTAGGCATATACTTACGGGTGAACGCCACGTCAACAAAGAAAGCAAAAAGCCTGAAATGGTTGAGCGGGCGATGCAGACAGGGCAGAAATTGGCGTTTGAGACGAGGGATGTATTTCACATGTGGGGATACCATCCAACGCCACATGTGCCCAGGCTACAAGCTTCTTGGTGACTTTTCGAAATCCAGTTGACCGCATCATCTCTACGTTCAGATATAGCCATCCAATGAATTGTTATAAGGCGCAAAGATTAACCCGCCAAGAACAAGATCATTATGCCGGAGGCGTGAGGCTGCAGAGCTGTGCAGAGAGGCTACCTGCAAAAACCAAAAGATTTTGCCTACAAGTGCATGAAGCAATGTGTCCCTGCCCCAGCAATTGAAGATTTCGCCCAGAGCGTCATGCCACCTTGGAGGCCAAATGAAAACTTTCGAGCCCTTTCAAAGGAGCAGAAAATGGGATGCCGTCTGATAGCCAGAGAAACAGTTCAAGGCAACTCAAACCAAGTAATTCCAAACATGGAGTTTAACTATGAGTACTACACAAAACACATCATCAGCAAGTTTCCAGACAAAGAAATCTTTGCCGTGAGGACTGACTTTAAGTGGGATGACATGGTGAATCTTGATAGATTCCTTGGTGGCAGAATGGAGCAGAGCCTGCCAAGAGAAACTGCAAGAAGGAGACGGCACACAATCTCAGTACTCAATAAGAAATGTAACTTTAGTAGATATGGAAGATACTGCATCGACGACTCTACTAGTCATGCCGAGAGGCAGTTTGGAGTGACTGTAAAGCTCTGATGAACGTTGTGCATCTCCACCTTCATATTGTCCCCGGTAGGCGCGCGTACAGGAATGGTTGAAGATTGAAGATCTACCGGCAAACTGTTATGCTACGTGCTAAATGTGCGGGATCTCCTCTCT